TTCTGGGCCTCTCCCCTGGCTGGGGGCCTTTCTACCAGTCTCACTCCTTCCCAGCAGCCAGGCTGCCAGAACACAGCCTGACATCTGAGCTCTGCAGAAGGGTGAGAACTACCAAGAGGAAGTGGAAGAGAGCTGGGGCAGCTACAGCCAATGGGATCAGATGGCTCCTGGCTGGTGTAGCAGGTCCCCAGGCTACTATGAACCAGGGCAGAGGCCTGCTGTCTGCTCAACTGCCAGGAGGGCCCCACTGAGCCTTTATTGGTGGGTAGTTGGCCAATGGCTTCATGCTAGCACCACTGAAAGCATTTTGGGCAGCTGAAAGACAGAGATTCTGGTGTAGGACACCCCAAAAAGCAGCCTGGGGTGCAGTATGTGCCTCTAAGTGAGTAGTCATTTAGGGACAAGGAGTGAGGGCCTCAGACTGCAGGGTCACCGACCTGCACTGACCCCCTGGTTCTATGAACCAGGTGGTGTGTGGAGAGTGGGTGTGGAGAGTGTTGGACCACCGAGTCTCATTTTTCCTGTCTGCAAAGCAGATCTCATCCAAGGGCAAGATGTTGGCCCACAGTGAGGTAGGGAGCCAGGTTGGGTGTGCCAGGGGCATCTGGCAATATTGATGCCACTGTGGGGGTGGTTTCATTGAGGCCACTGCTTTGGCCAGACTTCCTGGCAACATGCCAGTCCACTGGCCACTCCTGGACAGGGCTCCTCTACCACTTAGGACTCTCTCATTCCAGGGCTGGGTTTACTGTAACCATGGCAACTCATCCCCTGGTGCATGGGGAAGACAGTCTGCTTTGTCCCACTCACAGTACAGTATAGGGGGGCAGCAGAGAGATTAAGAGCAGGCTTGAGAAACCAGGACCTTCCCCAGGGGTCCCAATAACAGCAAATGTAAACAGTGTCTTATCCGGTAGACTTTTCTCTGCAGATACTCATAAGGACAGATTCCCCACCATCCCTAACACTGATGTGCTGGACACAGCTGAGGTCTAGCTTTACCTGACCACACAAGTGGCTTATGGTTCAAGCTATGCAAGCCAACCAGCCAGTAGAAAAGGGGCAGAGCTGTGGCCTTTCACAAAGATAGATCTTTCCCATGTCAGGTGAAAAGACAAGCTGCCCATCAGCCTATCTGTGCAATGAGATGACTTCCACAAAAATCAAAGCAGAACTGAGCCAGCTTGTCAAGGAAACAGCCATCTGACATGGCCACCTAGCACCAGGGATTCCCAGAGACAGGCAGGAAGTGGGACAGCCTCAAGGAGGGGGAGGGCCTTTATGACTGGGTAACTGGCCAACAGTGTTCACAAAGGAGGGAGAGCAAAGGGGTGGAGGCGCTGGAACAGAGTCACAAAGCTTCAGCACTCTTGTACCCTTTCAGCCTCATCCCTTCTGTGGTGAGAGATCACTAGTGAACACGAGGGGATGACAAGCTACAGGAGGCCTTGTGCTGCTTCAGTATGTTTCCGGGAGCCCAGACACCAAGAGACTGGGAGCAGGTTCCCTGGAGGCCCAGGAGCTACACCATCAAATAAAACCCTCAAAGCTAATGTCACTGTGCTGTCACTGTCCTGCCCCTTGGGCTGAAAAACTTGTGGAAGGAAGACATCTGGGCCACAATAAATGGTAATGAGGTGTGACAACACAGCCCTCACTCTGGATTTATTCACAGTTCCAACCAGGGCTCCCAAAGCCTGCCAAAGTGCATGCCTGCAGCTTTGCCCCAGAGCAGCTCAGGTATTCAGGAGAAGCAGCACTGTCTTACCTGTGGTGCCCTCTTCAAGCCCTGCACCATAGGCAGACACCAGGGCAGAATTCCCTGCCTGGCCAGGCTCCCCAACTCGAACTTTGAAAGGGCTCCCGACCACGTGGCTCCCATTGAACTTGACATCGATTGTGTGGATTATGAAGCAGACAGCATACTTATCTAGGAGAAGGAGCAGAGGCACATGGTAAATGTGGGCGGTAAACAGCCTGGAGTTAGGTGAGGACATAGGACTCTAGGCCAGTCTGAGCCGGCCAGCATTGAATCATTTAAAGACATGGTTCTGTTGGGAGCCTGGCAGCTGACACGTAGATTTCAAGGCCAGATGGGCTTACTTGTGTGTCCCTCATCAGCCCTTCAGGAACTGCTCCGAATCTCTAATTCTGTTCTACATTTGGGCCCCTGCCTCACAATCCACCCTTCATGAAAAGTTCATTTCTCTCACCATGTTTCCCTGTTTGGCCACTTGAAGGGAAAAAAATATAGTTCCAACTGGCATCAAGGCTCTGTCATTAAGCTCAAGGCAAGCAACGTCCCACAGAGCCACGGCCAGTTTTTTTTTTTCCTATTATGGGTCATAACATGAGGTGAGGTCATCTGTCAACGGAAGTGAATGCCTGGACTCTTCTTGCAGGGTCCCTCAGCCCCTCCCTGGTTCCTTGTACCCTTTATCGCCTTTGGAATTAAGTATGTCCCTCAAAGTGCCACACCCCAAATCTCTTCTTTTTTTCTGGTACTTTCAGCACTGCACTTCCCCTGTACTTCTCAGCTGGGTGTGATGGAATCAAATTAGAAGCCCCCCAGATTAAAGTAAACTGAAACTAAGTCTCCCAGGCTAAAGAAAA